CAGCAGCAGGAGTATGTCTCAAGATCATCCTTCTGCATCAAATGGAATTAGGAACTTTGATATGTTCAAGGCTGTAAACAGCAGGACACATGATCACCTTCCTGATTCTCTGGCATGCACGTCTGGACGCCAACCCCAGAGTGTATCAGCTGATGAATTTCCTCATCTTGATATTATTAACGACTTACTGAACGACGATCATGGGATTGGAAGAACTTCTATGCCCGACTCAGGCTTTCAAAGTTTTAGCAGTGGATTGCAGCATCTGAATCAGGGTTTCGCTTTCCCAGGCAATATCGGCACGCCAGTTGATCTAGGTCCCTCATCAAGCTCTTGTAGGTTTGAACGATCACGAAGTTATCATGACGTGTTCCAGCATAACTATTCTGGAGGCCTTTTTGATAGTGCAAGTGATATGATTATGCAGACCGACCCTCGACTCCATAATGGGCATCATCATATGGACGGGTTAGTTCCTAACCAGTGGCAAATGATGGGTTCTGACCCATCATTTCCCGGGATGAGGAATGGGACTATTGATGGTAGTCACCAGTATCCCATCCCCGACTACTCGAACTTGGCATGCGGTGTCAACGGGTATGGAGTATTTAGGCCTTCAAATGGCCTTTGAAAGCTTCTATAGAGGAGCCTAGCCTTGAATGTTTACTCTGTTTTCCTTTGTAATAATGCATTTGATTGAGAAGAGCCTTTTCGTCTTTACAGGAAACATTATGTATAGGGTGCTTCTGCTTCTTTGTTTCAAATTTTAACTTGAAAAACCATGGCTTTGCTATTGCTCCTCAGATTGAGTATTTGACAATTATAGAAGTTTGGCCTGTTCTTTTTATTCCTCCATGTTTGATGTATGCTATTAATACTTTGCTGTTGTAAGATGCATCAGCAGGTCGAGAAATTCATGTTGTAAGTAATAAAAATATATCACATAGCATAGCTCGAGAGCTTCGGTTCAATGGCGTCACTACTAAAAAATCACTATTTTCCCACAAAGATGTCCATTTGACTATGGTATCTGAGTAGATACTGCTACTTCCATTTGAGCCATAATATTGTTATATTTGATTAGATCGTCGAATCTTTTATTTCTCTTGACTTTTTTTAATGTTTTATAATTCCACACATATCTCAAACGTCATATGGTTATACCCTCAAAGAAGGCAACAAGGAGCCTTGTGTTGCATGCGTTGATTTAGTTGGACATGGACTTTGTATTTGAAAATAAACTAATGCACATGAGTAGCATTGTTTATTTTAACAATTTTTTCCCCATGTTGCCAAGTAATGTAAGCAACAACAATAATAATGCCAACAATATATCCAAAGTAATCTCATAAGTGGAGTTCAGGAAGAGTGGTATAAACATAGCTAGAAGCGGAGCCAGAGATTTTTATTAAATTGTATTAAAATATAAGAAAGTTGTTTCTTAGACGAGTATAAGGTTGCTCCGCCATTCTAGTTGACCCTCGACTCGAGATGTTGCCGAATAGTGTAAAGCGCAAGGAAAATTGAAAACGATATATAAATCAGGAATCGAACAAAATTCACAACCTTAAATAATTTTTTCTATATCACTATATATTTACATAATTTTTTTTGAAACAAACCAAAGAATTAAAAAAATAGTGAAGCCATATTACAATTGCAAATAATTTACTAATTAATTTTCTACGTTCTAAGTTTCCTTAAGCACCACGAAACCTCCTTGAAGATCCATGTCACTGCATGCGTGTTGCTTAGGTACAAAAACTCTACCGCGATGACGATACTGTTGAATGGTCCTTCAAAGATAGCTCAACGCCACGATGATAAAAAGTAACATGATCAGCGACATGCATGACCCTATATATCACTACTAAAAAACGCAAAATCCTTTGGAATTTTGCGTTTTTCTAGTAGGGTATATAGAATGAAACAACAGAAAAGACAGTAATTTTGACTCTTCGCCTGGTTTTATCGATTTATGGGCACGAGCCACCGCCGCCCGTGCCGGGGATGTTGGTGCATGGAGAAGCACCGGAAGATGGATCAGAACCTCTAGGCAATGATGTTAAAAGAGTCTTTTCTTGTTTCAACCGTTTTCCCATATCCAATGGCCTTGATGCTTTTGCTAATAATAAAACATTTGGAGTAGTGAAAATAGAGAATATAAGTAAAAATGTAACAAATCCTTTAAGAAAAAACATGATCTTTTTATGTAAAAAAAATTGTATTTTGGTTTTTGGTGATGGAGAGTTTTTTTTTTTTTTGAAGGGGTAGGAGAAAGTTTATAGAGGTTGTTGAGATTATAATGGGAATTGAATGAAAATATAAGGAAGGTTGATGTATTTATAGGCAAATATATATATGGATATACTTTAATTTAATTAGGTGATCAATGACTAAGTAGGTGTTGGACATGAAAAAAAAGACACTTAAAAAATAGTAGTAGTAGTAGTAGTATTTGTGAAAAAAAGTCAAAAATTGTATTTTGAAAATAGAGTTCTGTTTGAACATGTACTCAAATTGAAAAAAAAGTTGTAATTTTGTGAGTGGGGAAAAAAATCACTTAAAAAATTGATCAAAATTACTTTTTTAAAATTGAAACTTATCTTAAAAAGAACAAATTCACAAAAACCAGTTTAATTTATAACAAAAGGCTGTTTTTTAAATTATTTGTTTGAATAAAGGGAGATATTTATAAAGTGAAAAAAAACTCATCATATATATATATGTGGATTAGTTTATTTAAGTTTGACATTGGAAAAACAATGTGTTGTTTAGATATTGACTTGACCATAGGGTAAGAACTAGGAATGTTGAATTTAGAATTTAGAATTCAATTTTGACATTCCAAAATAGACACGTATTCTTGGCACCAATTATCATTAATTATATTGATAGAAGTTTGAAGAAAAATGTTTCCTATTGACTTTTTAGTTACATATATACCTATAACTTGTTGATGTCATCCATCCGGATACCAGTGAGATAATTGAAATTCCTCTATTTGTAATTAGAGATTTCAAGTTTGAGCTTTTAGAAATATAAAAAATCCTATTAAGAGAGCCTAGCTATGTGAATCCATATTTAGTTGGACTCAAATACGAGTATAGAATACCAATTGAGAAACCCAAAAAAAGGTTGTTTAAGTCATATACTTTAACGTGGAAAATGAAAAGTACTAGCTAGGTCCATGTTAAGACTGAGTTGATATTTAGACCAAGAATATAAAACTTATAATTTAGGTTAAACAAGTTATCTTTAGGATTGAGTATTAGATATAAAATTGTCTTTATTAAGGAGCGATTTACTCTAAGTGTATTTTTTGACATGAATCAAAATTTAATCAGGTATCATACTTGGGGAGGAAAACCAACAAAAGTTTTTTTTTTCTTTTGGAGGAAGGGGTCAAAGTTAGTAACTTAGTATTATGTTCTTCCTTCTTCCAACAAAAGATTATTATTATTTTCTTTTGGAGGAAGGGGTCAAAGTTAGTATTACGTTCCTCCTCCTCCATAATTAGTCTTCATGTGAAAACAATTTCTTATAACAAAACTTGTAATTTCTTGGCAACTTTTGGAGTTCAACATGATATTGAAAAGTTAAATTACGAGTGAAGGGTCAAAAATACATTTAAAGTATTTCGATTTTTTTTAGTTTTATACTTGAACCTATTAAGTGTGATCACCAAATATTTATCAAAACACACCTTAACTATCAATTATTCGCTTTTCTTAACGGAACGATGGCGATATTTCAAGTAAAAAGAGGAAACATGTGATAGTTGAAGTGTGTAATTAATTGACGAATAGTTGATAATAGTCGTGTGTAACTTAAAAGATCTTGTTATTTTAAATGTATTTTTATCGTTAACTCTTAAATTATTACACACTGACTAATTGCATGCGTCAATGACGGTGGATGACCAAAATCAATATGAAGAATGACAATATAGACTATAGTAGAATGACAATAAAATCAAGTTTGGAGTACTATGTAAAAAATGGAAATAAAAACCAAAATATTTGAAGTATAAGTCATAAATGTTGGTACAATAAGTCATAAAAATCAAACACTATAGGTGAAGATCCAAGACGCTAACGAGTTACACAAGTCGTACTCTTCGGTGACGAAGTTAAAATTTTAATCAGGAATTCAAAATATAAAGAAGGAAATATATAAAAAGGCCAAGTAAATAATTCAATATATAGACAAAATGAACATGAAATGTGTGTAAAATTTAAGAATATAATGAGAAACGTCAATTAAAGAATTTCTAATGTTCACATTATAAACAAGAAAATACCAGGAAATAACATACAGATAATTGATTAAAGTATTGAAGCAATTAAATATTATGATAGCACATCACATGCGTCACGTAGTTTAATGCGCACATGTACCTAAAAAATACTGTATTAAATTTAATAATGTACGTGCAGTACAAGAATTGTTATTAATCATTGTATATGTATACTTTAGATTAATGAGGGTGGATTCATAAGCTAAACTTGATGGATTCAAACTTTTAAGCCTCGTAGAGCTGAATTCATAATTTACACACACATTTATACTTTCGCATTAAAATACTAGGTTATGTCAAAGACAACTCCATACACGAAACTCGAACTCACATGAATAATATTTACCACACCATCACAACCTTAATTTGATGTACAAGTTGTTGGAATTTGCCATTGTAGTCTAAGTTCCTAACATTTATCACCCCACAAAAAGAGAAAGAAAACACATTTTTTATAAACATGGTGTCCGGATTAGCTTACGCGCACATTAACTAATTCTATGGAACACATGCTATCTCCCACCAACATAAATACAAGATAACTTTATCTACCAAAGTTTGGGCAAATATGACGAAATCACCTTGAGATTTGAACCTAAGTACTCAAGATTCTCAACCATTTTATTGACCACTAGACCAAGTGTGATACCAAGGAAAAAGTAGTCTTTGTGAACATCATACTAACTTAAGCATAGTAATCTAAAATTAATTCCCTCACTTCCCAATGAACCAACAATATTTGCTTGCAAGATAGGTATCAAGGTTATGTGAGAAACCATTAAGCTGATTCACTTGGTGTGGCCTTGTTAGTGCTGCAAGTACTCAGCCATGGTGGAGGCAGCATCCTAGTTTGCTCATTCACAGTCTGTAACAAGTGAGGGATTACCTGATAAAGTTCGGACATCTCCTTCATAGCTCCATTTCCTTTTCGTGCAATCGTTCCATCACTCATCTCCTCTTCACTTACACCATTTGACCAAATATTGATCTTTGGTTGCAGTCCTCTGATAGCATCCGCGTTGAACTTAGCGATATCCTTGTATATTCCTTCGTTAATCATCAAGTAATCCCTCAACGCGATGTAATTTCCTCCCAGTGCTGACAACAGTGTGCGTATGTAAATCCCTTCTGCTTCTGCAAGAGCCAGAAGTCCTTCAGCCTCTTTTGTCTTGGTATAAAGTGCAACATCTGCAGCTTGTTTTTTCGCATATGTTTCAGCGTCTGATTCAACCCTTCGAGCCTGTGCTAATTTTTCTCTCTCATATAGTATTGCATCAGCTGCTTTTTGCTTTTGGTAATACTCCCCATTTGCCTCTTGCACCTGGATTTTTACAAGCATATATAATAAGATTTTGACATTCTAATTCTATAGATCACAATGGCATACCATGAAGCCACTTTTGAGTAGAACATTAACTATGTATTAAATCTAATATCTGTTAAATGCTTATCAGCAGTGGCGGATACAGGATTTAAGGGGTTCAAAATTTGAAAAGGCCAACACACAAAGAAGCCATAGGGGGTTTCAACATCTACTATATATATATAAAAAATAATTTCAACCATGCATAAACAATGTAATTTTCTGGAACCCCTTCGGCCCTACCTGGCTCTGCCTCTGCCTCTGCTTATCAGAGAGGTTAAATTATTTGAGGGCCTCAGATCCTTTCCCTTGGTCAAAGGTAAAAAGAAATTCTAGAGACCATTGAACTGTCGAAGTGAAGAAAAATTCGATCGGATCCATTAGAAACATCAATGGATAAATATACTTCCTTCATTTCATTTTATACGTTGCTGACAGAACCAAGTTTAAGAAAGAAAGAAAGAAAGATTTTTTGTACCGATCAAAAGTATCCTTATAACTTCTAGTCTTAAACATTTTTTGACATTTTTATGGATGTAAGAGCATGCCATTGACAATAAAACGGGAAGTACAAAATTAAAGAGTTTTCAAATATAAAAATGTGTCATTCCTCTTGGAGTAGACTAAACCGGAAACAGTGTAATATAAAATAAAACAGATACAGGAACTGAAACACACTTATACAATTAAGACTCACCTTAATATGATATTCCACATTAGCTCTGCTGAGGAATTGAGCCTTGAAGTTCTCAGTCTTTGTCAAGGCATTCCTTCCCTCGACTTCTTGCTGCAACTCAGCCTCCCGTATTGCCACAGCTTTATCAGATTCCACCTCTGCCATCTTCGCCTGCTGTGACCATGCTGCCTTCTTAGTTGCGAGTTTTGCATTCGCTTCAGACACTTCAGCTTCTTGCTGAATCTCAAAAATCTTAACTTCTGATCCCACCTTAATCTCCTCCATTTTACCTTGACCTTGTCTTTGGGCGGTTACTACCTTCGTCTCAACATCAATCTTTGCAGCACTTTGAATTGTAAATCCTTCACTCTGTTTGGCTCCAACGTCACCCTTCATTTTTGCTTCAGCGACATCAACTTTTGCCCTATTTGCTGCTTCCATTTGAGTTTTCTGGCCTAAATATGAAAAGTACTCATGGCCTCTGACGTCAACTAGTTGCTTAATGTTAGCATTATATATCAGAAGTCCAAATTGGTTGAGCTCCACCTGAACCTTCCCAAAAACTTCGCGCTTGAAATCTTTTGTGCCTTTAAAGACATCTTCCATCGACATTGAAGCAGCCAAGACACGCGTTTCTCCCTCAATGATGCCTTGAACAAGCTCCTTGACATCATGAGAATTGCGCTGATGGCGAGAAAGAAGCCTCGCGTATTTGACAAGGCTGTTGTGGTCATCAGCCCGAGGACCAATAGTGAAAACGGCAGGGAGTAGGAAACATAGTTTTTCGGTGCTCATGGCATTGACTTCAAATGTGTAATTTACAGGGGAAACATCGATTCTAGTGCATTTCTGAAATGGCAATACCAGGGCTTTCTTTGCAATCTTCAATTCATCAATTCCTCTGCCAGTGATCACCAAAAACTCAGATGGTTTTGCCACATGGTACCACATTGTTCTGTTTCTTTGTTGTTTCGCCTCCTGAAGAATTCCTAAAAACAAACTAAACTGGTTATACACCACGATAAAACTCATAAAGGAAACAACAACAACAACATACCAAGTATAATCCCAAATTCATGACACACGGAAGAAACCTTTCAAGCAACAAAAGCATACGATTATTAGCCAAATCAGGGGAAAATTCTACTATACATCAAAGCCGTGGTGAAAACAGCTCTATTTCAACTAATAATCATTTTCATTTCTAATTGATTGGCTGAAGCGGGCACAGTACATCAAAAATTCAAGAGAAAATTAGAGTTCACTTATTTGATAACCGACGTGCTAAGGGGGAAGATTTTACCACCAAGGGTTGAGGTGAGATGGATGGTTCTCTTTGCGCCCTTAACCAAAGGTTTTGGGGTTTAAGACCTAGAGATGAAGTAATTCCTTGTGGGAACTCAACTAGAGCCCGTGACACGCAAATTCGGATTAGTCGAATGAGTGGATCCTAGATACCACATGGTTGAATCCCCAAAAAGAAAAAAGGAAAAAAAGGAAGATGCCTATAGATTGAGCACAATGTATATGAATTACTTGACTTGATGAACCAGTTACACACAAAAGTAAAATCAACAAGGAAGAGAAATTGACCATATTTTTTTCAAGCGAATTGAACAAGTGAAAAAGGGAAGCGAGTAGTAAGCTTTGTGGTGCATTCATGACTTGGGGTCAACAACGTTCCCAGTGTAATCCCACAGGTAGGGTCTAGAGAGGATAGAGTGTATAGTCGAGGTAACAAACAATAATTCTCATATATATAATATATTCAAATGTACATGCAAATTCAGACCTGCAACAGTCATACAAAGCTCTAAATTGATGAAAAGACTTACCTTGATTTTCAACTAGAATGCTTGTGAGGTGAGACCCAATCAGGGGTGTATGTAGAGCATAAGTTATGAATTCATTCGAACACAATAACTTTGGATCGAACTAAGTATAAGTGTTAAAGGTACACTAAATAACCACAACTATTCAACTACAACCCACAAAGTTTTGCATACACCATATCATTTCCAGACTCCATTCGTGGCATTATACTACTGTTGTTGAACCACTAAATCAAACAAGTTGTGATAGAACCCCAAATTCAGACTCATAAAGTTTAAATCTTTAATCCGCTTCTGTGCATATGAATTACTTGGTGGCCAAGAAACCAAAATAAACAACCAGAATATAGCTCACTAACAATGATTCCTCATACTTTTTCAAGTATTGACACTAAAAAATCACTATTTTCACACTGAAAAATGTTCGGTAGCTATTCCACACATATTTTGATTGAATGATCAGGAAAAAGAAAAGTTATGTTTTCATATTAAAAAATTAGAAAGCTCTCCACTAGTTCACTAAATAATGTATGTCCCACTCGTACTGAGCATGTTCGTTGGGAAATGAGTCAAAAAAATCATATTTTATAGCATAAATTTCCCACTGATTCACTGTTCAAAAAACCTTTGATTCTAGTAGTATGAACTATTTTACATACAAAATCAAAACTGAAAATTAGTCATTCTAAAGCTCCAAATTGATGGGGAAAAACTTACCTTGATTTTTTCAACTAAATTTTTTGTGACCCAAGAGAGTTGAATATTGCTGCATATACTTTATGAACAAGTATTATATTTATGGATTTCAAGCCTAAACGCCTTACATTCCGGTAGAATCTCAAAATTGAAACCCTAGTGTAGAAAAAAAAGGAAGTTCAAATAGATGGGTAAAAGCTCCAATTATTGCTTAAACCAATTGGTGCATGACATGTGTAGTGAATTTTATTGCTTAGTATGGTCATTATAATTATGGAAAATGGTCAAAAATGTCTTTTATGGTATTAGAAATTTCTTTATAATTTAATTTTTGTCACTTATTTAATCAAATTTGTCTCTCTTCTCACAGACTTTTAAAATCATTTCTAATTTACTTATACATACGCTAGTTTGTACTATTATGAATCTTATCAGATTTTGGTACGTTCAGATACATATATTTTGAGATACATCAAAATTGTATACACTATATTCAAGTGAATTCACATGTATTTGAGATACATAACAAATCTCGCACGCCTCCCTCCCATCTCGTATGTCACTCTCATATGTATCTGGTATACCAGATACATGCATCTAGTGTGATTCACATGTATATGAGATATATGACTATTTCGCTCGACTCCCTCCCCATCTAGTGTATCTGGTAGCAAAAATACATATATCCAGATTAGAGCTGTCAAAATGGGCTTGGCTTGCTATGCTGGCCCAAACCAATCCTTGAATTGAATAGGGTTGGGCTTAATTTTTTCAGCCCATTTAGGAACTAGGCTTTTTGGCCCAGCCTCATTGGCCCGCTAGCCTCGTAGGCCCAACCCGCAAGCCTCAGAGGCCAGCCCGTGGGCTGTGAATTTTTTAAAAAATTATTATATATATATTTTAAGTAGTGTTTTATTTGTTAAGATTTTGTCAATAAATATTATTAAAATATCAATATAAAATCAAGTTTAACTTCTTTGCATATCTTTTACATTTTAGGGTCATTAGCCCACTAATTTTCTTATTTGCCCAAGCCCATTACTCCATTATAACTATGAATCTTTGACCTCTTCTACTTTCTTGTTTTTATGCCTAATTTTCCACTTCTCCTTTACTATCTTGTTTATGAAAATAGTGATTACGTAATGTTTTTTGTTCGGACAAATCTTATTAATGTTGTATATTGGCTATTATGTTTCTGTTTTGTAAATATTCACTAAAGTATGTGTAATTCATGAATGAATTTTTGTATGTATTGATGCCGTGTTCATCAAATGTCAACGTTCGTACTCTTTCTAAGGCCAATATTGTCCTTTTTTTGTTGAAGGGCCAACTCGTGGCCCGCTTAAGGCTGGTTAGGCTGCTGTTTTATAGGCCTTTAATTAAAAGGGTCAGCCCGTCCCAACCCATTTAACTAGATCTCTAACCCATTAGGGTTGGGTTGGGTTGGGCCAGCCCATTTTGACAGCTCTAATCCAGATATATCTTCCTCAATATATGATAGAAAATTTTTACTCAGTGATAAGATACGAAATTATTTGAAAGTATAAATAGAACTCATATATATATATATATTTATATATATATATATATATATATATATATATATATATATTTAAAGAGGGAATAAGCACACATGTCTTGGTCGACGTGTGTACTTCCCGAAAATATCTATTAACTTCGAGGATAATTTAGTTATTGTTTATTGTGACTGCTTGCAAATTAGGACTCTCAAAATGTCACATGTGCCACATAAATTATTTAAAAAGTACGGTCTTTGTTTTAAAAAAAAACTATTTAAAAAGTACGTTTAAACTATCATCACTACTAATATATAAGAGGGAGTAAGCACAAGACTCGATCGACGTGTGTGCTTCCCAGAAATATCAACTATCGAAGATAATTTAATCATTTTAAATATATTGTGGCTGCTTGTAAATTAGGACTTTTAAAATATCACATGTGCCACAGGTATAATTTATAAAGTATGTTTAAAATATTATAAAAATAATTGACAACAAAATTATAAAATTAAAATAAATAAAATAATATATATATTGGGCTCGAATTTGTCCGGACTTTTGTATCTAGTCTCACACACAAGGATGATAAATCATCCATTTTTCACACGCGCAAGCCCATTCTTTTTTTCTAAATGTTTTACAAGTCCACTAAAACAATTCCTTATAAAATAGAAATATGTAATTTGAATGTATCCATATATTATACTCTATATTCATCCCTTTATTTCAGAAGTACTTTCTCAATTCAGAATACACAAACGTCTAACTGAATAGATCATGGATTTATGAGTTGCATAGGGAATGCATCATGCATGTATGATTTAAACTTACGCCTTATTTACTTTGAATTAAGGAACTCTTTTCATCGACTTTATTAAGATAGCGAAAAATCTATAAATAACATTCCTTTTAGTCTTATTTGGTATACTTTGCTTTTCGAAATTCAAATTATGTGAACTTTATTTGATATTTCAAAATGTATTTTCTAAAATCATATATCAACATGACAAGAATTATAATTTGTAATATTTGCTGATGATAGTTGAGTTATACCTTACGTATGTAGATGTCAAATGTGATGTATATATATATACCTAATCATTTTAATTGAACCTTTATTTTGGTACACCGAATGACTGAATTAATGCATCATTTATTTAAATGTACTTGATTTATAAAGAATGATTCTTTTGAAGTTTTACGGGACATGACTTATTATTACCTATATTAAGGACAAGTAGCCATGCAAGTCTAAACTAAACCAATAATAATATCTGTTCTCAATGCTGTCCCCTTAAGAGTTGTCTTTGTTACTCAATAAAAGAACAAGAAAGATACCTTAAACTAAGTATCTGTTTAAAATATGGGAGAATTTTAATTTCCATAACATGGTTAAAGAATTTCAATTATTCAGTACTAAAATTTTGGAATTAGTAGCAAAAGATAAATTATGTCACTAAATAATATTTTTTCTCGCTAATCCTATTTGGCAATGTATTATCAATTTTTTTATTAACGATGAGCAAGTAATAAATTAACGACGAAGTTCATAGCTAATTTCAATTATATATATATTTTTTTAATTATTATTATTATCTATACTTATAAGGGCAGCTATAGCCATGCATATAGTCTAAAGACAACCTTAGGTCATTTGTTAGTCAAAGTCATGATTATAGAAACATCTATCAAAAAAGTAAAAGAGGAAATTACAATCCATCTAATGATTAAAAACAAAACAAAAAAAAGATAGTCTCTTCTCACTTATTTATTAAGGGCTTCTGAATTAAATAAAATTACACTAAACTATGCATGCAACTATTTTTCTCTTGTTGTCTATACTCTCTAGTCTCAAAGAAAAACCCTTCCCCAAAAAAAGAGAAAAGGAAAGTTATGTCTTTGGTCCGGCCTGAGCAAAATAGGGTCAATTATATGAATCGTCACTGTTTAAAAAAAAGAAGAGGAAACTAAACAAGATCATGTTAAGGAGAATGTTGTCTGGTTCGTGACCATATATATCCTTCATCATATAAATGATCTCGGACCAGGCTTCATTCCCCTCAACTCAAGGTTTTGTTATAAACATTATCGAACCAGAAGCAGAACTGTAACTTCGTCCGTGATACATGCACTCTCTCTTTCTCTCTCACAAAAAATTGGCAAGTAAGCACCTTATATTAGTTCATTTGCATTGATGACAATATATTATTCTTGTTTTGATAGCTAAAGAAGAAGAGGAAGAAGAAGAGACAACAGGCCATTGGTGTTGATCATACTCGTTTGAAATCTGCATGTAATAGTAGAAAGAAAGGACAAGAAGCTATATATGAATATATATACTATAAGATTATTATAGTTTGGAACGCGCAAATTTAAAATTCTGAATTCGCTTCTACTACTTTATTACTTAGAGAAACTGAAGTTTTTCAAATTATGATGAGAGAATTTACTTGAATGTGCCTCTATTCTCATCTTAAAACTTTTCATCATTAACATTTAGCCCCTTTTGAAGCTTTCTACTAATATTGGGTCAGCTGGTTGGGTCACATTTGCAAGAAAATCCTTTACAAATGTGGCCAGCTTTTCATGTTTTGACATCTTTTGGCTAATGAGTTTTATTTATTGTTGACCGAGTAAAAGATATTTATACAATCAGGTTATCTGAACGGAATTTATTTAAACGACCATATACATCACTTATTAGATGATTACATATAAATATGTTGATATGCATTAAAATTCGCTAATAGTAATGTTATATATATAACTTATATTCAATTGTAAAAATTTATGTTAATAAACATAGATTGGTATAACCTAATTAAAATAAATAGTAATTAACATGCAATAACAATCATGTTTTGATTTAAATCCTCTTTTTATTTATTATGTCTAACAAGTTGAGTTAGAGTTACTTAATCTTCATTGAGATAATATGTTTGTACAAATATACAACACTTAGGCCTAAATCTCAAATGGAGTTAAGGGCCGAGGAAGGATTGGACCACAAATTAAAGGTATATTGTACACAACCTTATCCCATATTTCTGCAAGAGATAACTATATTTTCACAGCTCAAGCCCGTGACCTCTTGATTATATGACAACAACTTTAATTACCAGTTACACTAAGGTTCCCTTTCAAAAGAATTATGGAAGAGAGACAACTTGAGTGTGTATGAAAGAAAAAGCAATTCCTTTGTTGTATAAAGCAAAACATTAAAATGGAAAATTTGATTGTTCAAACTTTGAGTAATTTCTGTTCTTTCTGAATGAGTTCAACTATAGTTGATGGAAATTCTTGTAAGGTGAAAAGAGAATCATTTACACAAAAACTTTTACTCCTTGTCTCGAGTTTAAGCTTGGAATACAAAATACCTACTAATGGGAAGTGTTTTACTCTCGATATGAGTTTTCTAGCATAACTCTGAATTAGTTAGTCTCAATACGAATATTGAATATGGATGCAAAACTCAAAAAAATAAATTGTAGAAAAAAAATAATCTTTGTAGAAGCTTCAAAGATTTTGTGGTGTATCAAAAACGAAAAAGCTACAATAGTATAGCAATAATGAAAAAGAGCTGATTTATAAGTAAGCACCTTTAATTTTACTTTTTTACT